GGCCCGCCACGTCCGGTTCCATCAGGTTCTTCACCACCTAAGGATCCACGTTTTCCAGATTCAATTCATTCAGGACGTGGCGATTGTGGCGCGTGCTGATACTGTGACCGTTCTCGCAAAGAGCATCGGCGCAAAGTCCGAACGGAAATTTCGGGCAGATGTGCAAAGATTGACACGTCTCTTCGACGCAACCTTTGGAGGTCAAATGACCTCTGCAAATCGTCAACGTGACATTCAGAGACACCGCGCCGTTCGTCATGAGGAGCTGCTCGTCTTCTTGGAGAATCCCACGAATTTCTTCGGCTGTGCTTTTCAAAGTAGCGGATAATTCCTCGATATCTGCTCTGAGGTCTTCCTTCGCTACAATGGCATCAAGGAGTTTTTTCCTGAGGCGTTGCTTCTTTTGTTCCTGCGCTTCTTTCTCCTTTTTCTCTCGTTCTTCCTCCTTCTTTCTTCGCTCCATTTCTCTCTTTTTCCGCCTGGCGTCCTGTCTAATTCTGTCTTCTTCTTCCTCCTCGTCCGTGGTCGAGTCCTTCCTGCGTGTCGTCGTCGTCTTCTTCCTCTCCTCCAAGTTTTTATTCTCACCTGCGGTCTTCTCCTTTTCCCTGAAGGTTCCAGTTCTGGTGATCGTCTGTGATGAATGATAATTTTTTACAATTCTCCGCACTACTGAAGTTCCTCAGAAATAAACTGGATTCCTGAACTCTAAAGCAACCAAATGTTTGACACCTCTCGGTCCTTTCTTGCACTGAGAAGCGCATACCTTATCACAGTGGCATGGATCTCCTGCAGTGCTGGTGTACTGGGAAAAAGCCGCGCTTTACTGGCTAAAATTTCTATACAAGCCATTTTATGTTTCAATAAGGCTATGTTTGAATTCCTATACATGGTGATTGGAAAGTTTACTATTGGAATATTAACGCGCACTCCTTTGAACATTGGAATAACTTCTTGTTTTAAACCATGTGACGGTAACTCATAAAAGCAGAAATCTTTGCATGCAAATTAATATTTAAACAATGCACGAAAGTTCGAAGTTCCAAATTGCAGGGCAAATTCCTGCACATTCATTTTCATCAATTTTATCCAAAATGATTATGCCGCAATAATCATTTTGGCAAATCCGCAAATCATTTTATCCAAATCTTATTTTATTTTGGCATCGCAAATCATTTTATCCAAAATGATTTGCGGTGCATGTTGTGCACCGCAAAATCTACGTCCTGGAGCAGGTTTTGCCAGTCGAAGCCGATTTTATTTTCCATGAATCCTTGTCGGCTTATCCTACTCTTTCTCAACCATCTTCGCATTTTATTCACAAACCTTCTCAGCTTTCTCTTTCCTGATTTCATGAAGATTCAGTTGTTGCATAATGCATCAATGCTCTTCGCGGTGATGCGATGAGGAAAATTGAGAGACATGGAATTCTTTTTTGCATTCGTGAATTCTCAAGACGATTTTTGAAGCAAGAGGCATTCATTAGGGAAGAACATTAGTGAGCTCAATACTTCTAATGACCCCGGGAGAACAATACATTGGGCCCACGTTTGCTGCGAGTGGGAAAATTTGGGCCAATGTCGGAGTGGGCTGCCTGTGTCGGCCCCTCATTGGCGCTAGGGCGGCAGGCAACATTTGTCATGACTCAGGATGCGACATATATCTCAGTTATTTGAACCAAAGCTTCCAACAGAATGAGCGGGATGGCAGGTATGTAGCCAGTATTACAAAAAAAAGCTTCATACATTTGATGCGAGATGCAATTATGCAGCCACTATTTCGCTGGCGTCAAAGAATGATTCATTAGTTTAAGACCCCAGTTCCTTTCTTAAGGTACTTGATCCATTTTCGTAGAGAACGTAAAGGAAGACACTCGAATTTCTCAGTTCAATTGCTTAAGCAGATTAACCAATAAAAAAAAGGATTGTTGTTAATCATGGTTGAAGTATGATTCAAATTTGGGCTTCACTCGATACCTCGGGACCTAGATGGGCAACCCAAAGCACCGTAGGGCCAACTTCCTACACTCCCAGTCATTGTTGGCCCAACGTTGCGTGCCGCCAAAGATTAAATCTCGATCGAAACCTCTTTCGACATTATGAATTTTTTGGCGCTCGTCGGTCATGATGGCGTCTATTTCGTCACCTCGGGTTCAAGAATGAATTCGGGTTGAATCGGATTCTAAAGCTTATCTATTCTGATCAAGGTTTTCCTTCCCTTTCCAACGTAATTCATTTGTTCGCGGAGCCACGATCAGGCCCATCACAGATATGGCTAGAAAAATGGTCTATCACAGACCTGAGGATGGTTACTAAACCACCAGCATGCCATTGGCTATCAACAGGATGAAAATAAGTCCCATTCCAGGCTTTCCATCCGTGCCATGATTCCAAGAGCTTAGTCGTGGAACCTCAGACTATGAAGTTGTTCGCAGCTTAGTGAGATAAGATAAGGACTGCAGTGGATTATATCCGTAGATTCGACCGACGAAGTCGATTCCTAGTTCTTTAATGACCTACGTCACAGACCCGCCGATCAAGTTCCTCGGGAATGAGTGCCCAATCCATTCCCACTTCGAGTGAGATGATCGGAAAATGAAAACAGAAAATAACAAGAAGGAACACCGGAGAGGCTGAAACCACCAGCAACATTGAAACCAAAACCACACAAGCACCCCGAGTCCCCAAGTTACCCACCCGACGCCACCGATTTCACCAGATGTCAAAGGAGACGAGGCGGAACCTTCCACCGTGCATACATTTTCAGATGTCCGCAAATGGATAGACATTTCCTTTTGATCGTAATTAGAGGAAATCCCCTCCAAGATCTCCAAGGCCTGCTTTTATCTGCCTCCTCGAACCAAACAACCCAGATAAGTGTTTTTTCGCCTGCTTCTTATTGCCCTGGTCATGTGAACACGGCACCACAATACGTTTCCCGGTCCTACGTTTTCTTCATGGTATTCTTGCCGCCCACGACTCCTCATTCGTTCTCAGCAGCACGGGAAAACCTAATCCCCAAGCCTAATCCCTTCTCCCTAAATCAGGCCTTCGGAAGCCTCGACTTTTCCGCAGCGAACGAAGAGAGAAGTGCTCCCTGGGAATTTGCAGGTGGTATCTTGTTCGTTCACAGTTTCGGCAAGATTTTTTTTTTTCCGTCAAAGGGAACGACTAACCTTTTTTTTCTCGAGCTGTGGTGTGTCGTTACTTGCAATTGCAGTCATTTTCTGAAAAGTAGAAATCGTGAAGGAATTAGAAATCACTATTAAAAAAATACCTCAGAGCGAATGAACTCACCAACTGATTCAACAACTGCTGCAACATCGCTTCATTCAGGCGAGGTATCTCTCGAGGGTCCTGTCGGAGGGGGGTTGAAAATGGCGATAGCATGCGTTTAAGAGTCTTTGAAGAAAATCAAAGAACTGGAAACTAATAGCTCAAAATTAAATTTAAAAAATGAAAATTATTTCATCAATACCTGAGGAGGAATACCGGCAGGATATGCAAAATCTTCGGGTCGAGTAGGCATTACTTGGTACCTAAATCAAGGAGCCAGAAAAAAAAAACTGTAACATTTTGAAACATTTTTGCAATAATTTCTCTGAACATTCGAATGAAAAGCGAAAGCCTCACTCAGGTACACCAAATTGGTTTCCGAAGTAAAGTGGGGTTCGATTCACTGTTTGCGCCATTGATTGTCCCCGAAGCGAATCCTGAGGAAATGTCGTCTGGGCTTCGAAATGAGGTTGCAGGTGAGTCGTTTCATGATATGGCTGATATTGAGAGGAATAAGTGTCATTCGCTCCCGGAACGTGTCCCATTTGATGGGGAATCGGCTCGTACGGTTGATTCGGGTGGGGCCATGCACGTCGCTGAGCGGGGTCGAAGGGGAATGTGGGGCCTGGGTGGTGCATTGGCCCACCATCGATGGGTTGGGGCGCGCTTTCCACGTTCTGGTCTGTTGTCGAAGGGAATCCGTGAGGATGATGCATGGTGTCTCTATCCCGTTCTCGCTTCTTGTGGGTAGACGGTGATGCTGCGTCTTCCGGAAATTGATGTTGAGATAACCGGCGGGATGAATGACGAGTTACATTGGCCCGTGCAGCGCCACAGACGATGGCATGAGAAGACGCGAGGACTTGGGGTGGGACCTGAGGGAGACCTGCGATCGGAGGAAAACACCGGTTCAGAGGTGAATTTAATGCGATCACCGAAACCAATATATATCTTTCGAGGCCGTCAAGACTCCTCATTTCGCTTCACGGCGATGGTTTCACTCGATCTATGATGGAAACGCGATTAAAAGAAGTGGGAGAAAATGAACATACCGTCGGACAGAAAAGACGAAGGCTTCTGAAGTATCTGTGGGCTCTAATAATAGCGACGAAGAGCGATAGACCGGTCCTGTTTTCACGTCCCTTATCTTACGATGAACAGCGAGAAGCGCTTTCAGATATCAGAGTTTGATTAAAGCCGCGTGAGTCCAACGCACTCTTTGCAATGCGATCGTCACTATCAATTCCTTCGCTTCCCTGGTCCTTTTCACGTACCGAGAGAGGGGTCCCCGGTCCTTTTCACGTACCGAGAGAGGGGTCCCCGGTCCTTTTCACGTACC